AACTGGTATAGAAGGTTCAGGTTCAATTCCTTCATTTTCATCTTCAGCGACTTCATTATTTTGTGAAGGACATACTGTTTCAATAATTTCTGCATCAGAAAACTCTTTAGAAACTTTGTTACCAATGTTTACAAATTCCATTGCTGAAATGAGTTCACTAAAATAGAGTTTATTTATTTCTTCTTGTAATTCATCAATCTCTTCCCTTATTATTTCATCATTATTTGGGGAATACTGCAACAAAACCAGACAAAGTGAACATCGGTGTTACTAAAAATTTCAGGGATCAAAATTTAGTCATTACCATCACAATTGTAATGTAATCAGTTTTATAATACCCCATTTGTTATCTTAAATGATCTATAGAACTACTCCTATATAAAAATAGTTAATATGAAGTTAATTTACATTAGGTCTACTACAGTCTGGGATTTTGCTATATTTGGTATTTCTAAATGTCATAATGATTTACATAAGAAAGTTACACGTGAAATTTAGAAATTTTGTTATTGGCTAATTTATGCAGATCTTTCTGCTCTATTAAAATGTATAACCTCCAGAGTTATTGTAAACGTTCAAAGCATTTAATTAAATTATTAACAAACAAGTAATTTTATGGTTGTAAAATTAGAAGTTAAAACATTAAATGTTAAAAAAAGTTCAAAAGTTATCTTTATTTCATGGTTCATTAGATGTTTAAATAATAAATCACAGTCTTAGAATTATAAATAGAGATAATAAATAAATAATGGGGAATGATTAATATTAATATCTTAAGGACTTCCCAGAAAGTACAATTTTAATTAAAGATAACTTTCACTAAACATAAATATAAAAATAATGAATAATATAGTTGTATTTTCTTCAATCTAGCAATATGAATAATAATAATAATCATTCAAAATACATAATGAAATACTAATGATAACAATAATGTTAATATTAAGATTTCTAATTCTTCGAAATCATATTTCCCAAATAAGTAAATTTACTAATGAATTTCTAGATTGCAAAATGTGGAAATAAAATTATACTAATAAATTACTTTGTGACCAATAATTTTGGGAATTGTTACAAATTAATTCTATATTTTGGATTTGGTAAAGATCATTTACTAAGAGAAACAATTTCATCTAACATCCGTAATCATAAAATATGCTTTCATGTCAATTTAATGATGCTTCTCTATTTGTCTACCCATTATAAATGTGCCCATATGAATTATTACAGAGCATCTTCAAAAATTGTGCTCATAGAAAAAAGTTAAAGCTCTAAATATATTTATTGTTTTGCTAATTGGAAGTTTGATCACATAAATGTATACATCTTTTTTCAATCAACCATAAATTACATTGAGTTGAATCATACATAATTCATTCGCAATTTATATTTTCAAAATATCTACATATTTAAATGAAAGTATAATATAATGAAATTACACATCCAATCAATTTTACGATCACTCATCTAGTCGAAGAAGAGCATTTACATATGAAAAATGTGAGAGTCTTGGTTTAGTTTTTGCTTCATCAAAGGATGTTTTAACTTCCTGACCAACAGCTAAATTTGTAGATGATATATATTAGTGAAAGTTTAATGTTATAACATGAATATTTTACATTTATACATACTGCCCATTTTAATATACTTTCATAAAAGTATACAAAATCTTGCATTTCTGAAAATTCCCGTGGTAAACTAGCACTATCAACTTCATTTAACCTAAAGACTAGTGCTGTAATCCAAAAAAGGAAAAAGTATGGTTGCAAAAGTGGTCACAAAGGTAATTGCAACCACTTTTTATATGCCGTAAATACAATTACTACAATCATCATAATTTACGGCACTAGTCTTTAGTTACCAGTCCATAAATGGACTGAAGATTATAGGTCAAAGGTACTCAATGAACTCAGAGAAAATGGAACTATTGTAAACATTATAGATAAGTATACAGACAAAAATGTGTACTTTCAAATTGAAATGACACCTGAACAAATGGAGTATGCTGAGAACAAGGGACTTGAAAAACTTTTTAAATTAAAGTCCTCATTATCAACATCAAACATGACGTGCTTTAATAAGGATTGTAAATTAAAAAAGTATTCACCAGAAGATATATTAGAAGAGTTTTATCAAATAAGATTAAATTTTTATGAAAAAGAAGGGTGAGTTGAATTTTGTTGGATTTTTTATTATTATAAATACATACACATGATATGTTTTTACCAATTCACTGATTCACTTATTTATTTGTGATAATAGTTATATTTAATTAGAGAAAAACAACATGAAGTGGATACAAACATGACAGCTGCAGGCCTTTGGTTGAGAGACCTGGATGCATTGGAGGCTGCATGGAATGAATGTTTAATAAGACATAGCTCAACAGATAATGATGATGATCATCATCAACAACCACATAATAACAAGGAAGAACCTGATAGGAGGAAAAGGAGGAGAAACAATGGTGGTGGAGCAACATATGCCTAAAAATTTTAAAAATAAATTTGCATTTTTTTTTTGTTTGGGAAAAGCAATTTATTTTTTACAAGATGGAGAAATGTAAATATTGTTTTATTTGATATGGTTCTCTAAAGAAGACATGATTTTAATAGCAAAATGTACTATTTTTTTATTTGCATTGTATTTATTTTTTTTATTATTTTTATGAATATGTCTTAGTATTTTATATAAATGTATATTATTGAAATCAAAATGTGGATGGAACAGAATTTATAGTGTCTCTTTAGATATTTATACTATAGAAAACTCTTGATGATGATAAATGGTTGATATTGTTTTGCTTTTCATAATCATTATTAACATTAATATCAAATTAACAGAAGTTTTTTGATTTAAGCCCTTGAAAATCAGGAGTTTGAAAGTTTCTTTTTTTCTAGATCACCTTTTAATTTTTATACTATATTTATTATTTTACAATCTCGATAAAGCTTTTATATAAATAGTTGAATATATTTAGTTTTTTTCCTTACAAAATTGTGTATTATGTTGGTAGAAAGACCAAAATAACTCTTTACTCCTTACTAAACCATTCTCAAAAGTAAGAAGTAAAAATTAAATGGTTAGAAGTAAAATTTAGGTATTATGAAAAAACAGTTGACAGTTTTACCTAATAATCACTTACTGGACAAAAGTATAGGGACACCTGCAGATCATCGCAAATAATTGAATAAAGTGACATGACAAAAACTAAACATTTTACTATCCCAATCACACTTGCTTATTAAGTAAAAATTAATCTTCATATCAAATAATATAATATACTGAAGTTTTACCACATACAATTAAACCATTGTTGTTTTACAAACTTTAAAAGATAAACAATAAAATTCCGGAATTTTTTTAAAAATCTTTAACTCAAAAATAGACTATAATAGCAATTTCTAACATCTTTTATGGCATAATTAAAAAATGCTTGCCATGTTCGAAACTGGTTGTTTGCAAAATTTCACAAAGTGCGCAACATTATTACTCAATTTATTGACAAAAACACTAAACGGATTGATTTTTTCCAATTTTGAAGATTAAAAAAAAAATTTGCAAAATTTTTAAATTGCAATCGCGAAGCAAATTTTTATCCAAATTAAACCATATTTTTTTCAAAGACTTAAAATGCCCAGAGGTACTGAATTATCTGATTTGAACGTGGAGAAATTATTGGTTTAAAAAAGGCGAATTTTTCTTATAGGGAAATAGCCAACATATATTCAGTGATGAGAGTAGGTTCTTACTATTTCAAAACGATTCAAATGATTGGGTTTGGAGAATGTCAGGAGACAAATATAAAAAAAATTATTTAAGTCCAACAGTAAAACAATCTGATGGAATTATGGTTTGGGGTTGTTTTACAAGAAGAAAAATGGGTCCATTAGTATTAGTTGAAGGTAAATTAAATGCAAGTAATTATAATAACCTTCTTGCAGCCAATTTATTACCTTTTATTGACGAATTAAGTGCAGAAGATCGGTGTAATCATGGTGATGGTGTATTTATTTTTCAAGAAGATAATGCACCATGTCATAAAGCAGCTGCTGCAAACATATGGAAAGAAAATAATAACGTCATGGTTCTCCCCTGGCCTGCACAAAGCCCAGATCTCAACCCTATTGAAAATTTTTGGCAGGATTTAAAAAGAAGACTTAGATTAAAAAATTATAAATCAAAAAATAAGATTGAATTATTTGATTTATTGAAAGAGGAGTGGTTTAATACTAATCCAGAAAAAATTAATAAATTAATAGATAGTATGCCACAAAGGGTTGATGCTGTTTTAAAAAGTGGAGGAAACCCGACAAGATATTGATTTTTTTTTAATAAAATACAATTAATTTAAAGTAGTTTCATATATTTTTTGATGTCTTTTATGTTTCAAATTAGTGGGCAGTTTGAGGTTGAATTGTTTTGTAAATTTTTTTACTTTTTATTTTTACACTTGTTAATTAATCTACCAAATGCTCTAAAATTTTATAAGTAACTAGATTTAAACATGAGAAACATTTTTCACTTATACCACAAAGGTTGTTAGAACTTGCTAATGTGGTCAATTTTTGAGTTAAAGATTTTTAAAAAAATTCCAGAATTTTATTGTTTATCTTAATTTTTACTTTAGTTTTTGTCATGTCATTTTATTCAATTATTTGTGATGTTGTCCAGGAAGTGTATATAAAAATTTTAGTATGAAAAAAATGAAAAAAATCACTTCAAAACTTGTTAATATTTTTAAATCATTTGATTTTTTTTGCTAAACTTATTATAAAATCTATTGTATTATTATCTCTTGTAGAATTTTTCTCTGAAAATATTATAACTAGTACAACAAATTCATATAATAATATGAACTTCCAAATTTTTATCAAAAAAATATATTGGATTTACCTGATTAAATAATGTGTTTTGATGGATCTTTATCATGCATAATAGAAATAATATTTGCCCAATGATTTGAAGGTGTTTCCTAAGAAGAGGAAGAATAACATGGGTAGGTGTTGATAGATCTTACCATTATTCTTTACCTCTGGATAACTGTAAATACATGGAAAGGAGCTTAAGCCAAGTCAGATTCTCATATTTCAGTCCACCACATGTGTAATCCCTGTGAATAAAATGGAATATCATCTGATACTTCATATCAGCAAATTTCTTTCAAAAATTATGAATCCTAAATTAAGAAAACCAACAAATCAATCAAAAAATCTTTATCCCCAAAAAAAAATTCTACATTTACTAACAATCTATGTTAGTATGTCAATTTTTCTGACAAAAATTTAACATTTGCAGGGAATTTTTCTCTTTCTAACAAATTATTCATAAAATATAATGTCATTTAGCTGTTGGACTAGATAAAAATTCACAAACCATTGCATATGATTAGGAGAATCATTTACACATTTTATATTTTTTGTCAGCTTCTATTCAATAACAAAATTAATTTAATTTTAATATAAACATAATGTAATAATTAAAATTATAGTTTACATCAGAACTAGAAGAAATAGGCTTTGAAAGGAGCTCATTCTTACTGCTTGATTTCTATAAATTAATAATAAATTAATCCTAAATCTTGGATATTCCTTGTATTAACTAGAATAAATTACTTTTGAATATATTGCTGTGGACAAATATCTTTCCAAGAATAATCTTTGCCTTGAAAAGATTAATGGTTGAATCTTTAAAATTATAATATGCAATTGCTTTATGTGCTAGGGAAAAGATATTTTAATAAAAAGACTTCTTTCCTAATAATATATAAAAAAAAGATTATTATTATATTAATAAAAATTTCTTATCACTGTCATTATCTTTATTACTATCATCATTATTGATTGCATACTCAACCCAATTCCCAATGGTCTTAAGTTTTCATTTAATTTTATCCCATTGATTTTTATTATAACTTCAATTTCTTTGACTAAATTTTCTGGGTTAATGTTTGGAAAATTAATGGGTATCTAAAATATTGATATATAAAGAATACCAATTTTCAATAAATTAAAAGATTGTTTACATTCGTTTAACAAGTAAATTATTGATTTTACACATATTTAATTTTATTATTTATAATTATAATTGATTATCTTCATTTTTATTCTTGTTGTAATCATAGAGGGATAATGAAACCGCAATCTATTATGAGAATGAAAACCTTACAGAAGGATTGAAATGTTTAGAAAATGAATTTTTAAAAGGTTGTTAATTAGTTGAAATCTACTACATATAAGTATATTTATTTTATTATGATTTATTAATTTGAAAATTAAATTAATCAATAAAAAGGAATTTCACACTCAAAGACCCTTCCATATTTGATTATAAATCTAACTTCACATAATTTCAATTTCACACACATTCAGAATTAAGATTAAATATTCAAAAAGAACTGACAGAATCTTATAATATAATTAATCGGCATATGAAACTGTTTTTGGTTTGCAGTGCGACCTTTAAAGCTTGACTTTTGTCTTTACAATTCGTCTGTACAATTCGTCACAACCTTTCTATGTAGTAGGTTGGATGGTATACTAAAATTCGTGAAACGTTGATCTATATAATAATAAAAAAAAAAATAAAAGGATGGAAAAAACATTAAACGAAAATACACATCAAAATGACATTTCTATTGATAAATATGAAAGAATCAAAGTATATGGTGAATGTCAAACTTGTAATAGATATAATACTAATTGGGCATGGTGTCAATCATGCGATCCACAACTATTAACTGAAGGATGGACTAGTGGTGATGAAATAATAGATGAATTGATTAAAAGTACACAACTTAAAACAACATCAAATAACAATGATAAATATCTTCAATGGATTTCTTATAATAATTTAACAAATATTGAAAAGATAGGTGAAGGTGGTTTTGCAACTATATACAAGGCTATTTGGATAAATGGTTGGAAACCTGCAAGTGACAGTGGGAAACTTGGTCAATATAAGATAGTAGCATTAAAAAAATTACACAACTCACAAAATATTTCTGATGAATTTCTTAATGAGGTAAATTTATTTTATTATTATTTTAAAAGCAATACTATTATTCATTATTATTATTGAAATTAAATTTTAATTTTTTTTTTTAGTTGAGAAATTATATTAAATTTCATGATAAATTGAATATAATTAAAATTTATGGATTAACACAAGATCCAACTACGAAAGAATATATATTTGTAATGGATCATTTAAAAGATGGAAATCTCCAAAATTATTTAACAAATGAATTTAAAATTTTAAAATGGGAGGACAAAATTGAAAATCTTTATCAAATCATCAAAGGCCTAAAGGATATTCATGAACAAAATATCATTCATCGTGATTTTCATAGTGGTAATATTCTTCAATATAAAGGTATAAATTATACATCAGTACGTGTTGCAGATTTAGGATTATCAATTCTAGCTAGCCAAACATTGTCAAGTAAAAATGATGTATTTGGTGTACTGCCATATGTGGCACCAGAAGTTTTAAGAGATAAACTATATAAAATGTCATCTGATATATATAGTTTTGGGGTGTTGATGTCTGTATTATCAACTGGTCAACAACCTTTTAGTAATTTAGCACATGATTTAAGCCTTGCAATGAAGATATGTGAAGGTGCAAGGCCTGGATTCTCAAACAATACTCCAAAGCTTTACGTTGAATTAGCATACAGATGTATGGATGCTAACCCAGATAAACGCCCACTTGCTGAAGAAATTCATAATATTATTGAATTTTGGCTTAACTCATTTAATGATAAATTATTAAATGATCTTGATAATAAATATTATAAATATTCAAAACAACAGATTGATGAATTAAGATCAATTAGAAAAATATTTGATGAAATGGACAAAATACATTTTGATTCTTCAACAATTACTACAACAATTCATCCAAATGCCATTTATACCAGCAGATTATTAAGATTTACAAATCTTCCTCAACCTGTAAATTCCAATAAAGTAACCATTGATGGTAATTATAACGGTAATTATTAACATATTATTTATGAAATAATTTTAAAATTTAAATATTATGATCATTAATATATTTATGATAAATATTTTAGATTCTCACCAAATTGAATTAATTGTACCAGATGAAATACCCAATTAAAAATATAGTTCTCAAAAGAATTAAATTTCATGATTATGCATTAGTTCTCAAAGATGAAATTGTGAATCTTTATCATTCTTTGTAACAATGGTTTGATATGATCATTTCACTCTGTACACAGGTCAATAATTTGTTCAAGACTATATTTTTTAATCATTGATTGACAAGTTTTACTGACTGTATGAGAAATAATAAATGAATCCCTCACATTCAATTTTGATTTATTCCACTTGTAAGGCACTATAAATTCCAAGTGCCTCAATAACCAAATAGGTTAACATTATTTTGGAAATGATTTTTGAACTCAATTTGATATTCCTTAAAGTTTAATCTCATATTTTTGTGCACACATTGTCTTTGTACTTTGGCATTTTGGAAAGTAGTAAAACCCAATCTCCAGCTTTAGGAATATAAAAAAAAAATCATCAGATTTGTATAATTGGTTCTTCTGAAAACACAAAATAACCAAGAGTTGGTATTTGGCTAACTTCTTTCTCTTCATAAATAGATGATTTGTCTGAATATGATTAGTGAATAATCTTTTTGACATGAGATGTTGTTGTTAATTATCAATTATTAGCTTTACCATTCAATGCATTATGATCATTATTTTGTGTAGATAACAAATCACCAACATCAATAAGCCTAGTTCATCAGAACTTGATTCTTTATAGTGTAATTGTCTTCTAAGTCAACATCAAATGGATTCATCAATGTTCCTTTTCTATTCTTTTATTAATTAACATTGCCAAAGAAATCATACTTCTTGTCATAGTTCCTAAATCCTCTAGCTAAAAGTTCATATTCATCAACAGATTCATAATATTCTAGATTGTAAAAATTATCTTCATTTATACTTTGTGGAGATTGTGACTTAACAGCTCCTTGTTATCAGTATTGATATCACTTCATCAACCATCAATTAGTGTGTTTTCATCTTCATTACTATTAACTGCAGTGATGACAAATGACCATCAAATGGTTAGGTCATTGATGGTCATTTGATGGTCATTAAGGTCATTTGGGTTGGTCATTTAAATAAACCAATAAAATTTTACCAAAAAATTATATTTATGCATATGGATTATGGGTATCAACCATCTTGAAAAAAGATGGAACAATCACTTTTACTTTTATCATTGGTCCTTCATTCATAATAGAGAATTTCATTTTAAAAATAATATAAACAATCTTTCATGTACTTATTTTAATCAGTGGATTAATTATTTTTATCAGACTTGATTTGGAGCACCACCAATCAGAATTTTGTGTGAATATTTATTGTATCAAAAAAAAGCTTATACTTTTGATATGAGAACATTTAGTCAACTTGATTGTGAAGTAGTTGATTTTGAGATTTAGCAAAAAGTGAAGCACCTGTGTTATGAAGATTATTCTTCACCTGCATGAAATTTGTATAAATACTGCCTTTATTGAAAGATTCTGATCCAATATGGGTTTTATACATTCAAAAAAAGGGAATTGTCTTTATTTATGTAAAAAAAAAAATAGTTTTCAACTTTAAGTTTTATTACAAAATGATTAATTAATAAAAATTAAAATCTATTTATTAAAAGCATGAAAAGTTCCTGGAATGTGTCAATTGAGGAGTGAATTATTTCAAAAGAAAAAATAGTCGAAATTAAAAAATATGGAAACCTTTATAAAAGAAATCACATTGCAATTCCCATAATCAAGAATCTGTTGGTGATGACAATGAAGATGAACTGCTTGATGCAAATGAAGTAACTAATGATATGACACTCAGAGATGATAATATCGAAAATAATGACTGAACATTAGCATCTTTTGAAGGAGAAGAGGATTTAGATGCCTTTGAAGAAGGAACTGATAATTCTATTAACAGAACTGAAGATTGGATAGAACTTATTCAAAATTGATTGATAATGAAGATATTTCTGACCCTTTAGAATTTATATCTGTAGATCATACTATACATCCTGCTGATGATCCAATTGCCAAATAGAGTCTGTGTAGTATTTTTAATGATAATTTAGAATCACCTGATTTTGTAAATTCATTTGATTAAATGTTAAAATTTTGAATTTAAAATTAAACAATATGATTGGTTCAGCAAATGACCATGTCATTTAAAATTGACTTTCAAATGACCCAAATGACTAGTCATTTAGTCATTTGTCATCACTGATTAACTGGGAGGTTCATAATACTCAAGATAGTTATTTGAAACATCAAATTCAAAGCAGTCCAAGTTCCTTTCAATGATTAATGATCAATTTCCTATATACAGTATATAGTTAATATGTATTATCCATGATTAATTGAGCATCAAACTCGAGAGTGCCAAATTTTACTGATAATATCTTCTTTAATCCAAAATATGAATTATCAAATTAATTTGAAATAAAATATTTTATTTATTTAGCAATATAGCAATAATGGATTATGATGGCATTGATGATAATGATATTGTTACCGAATTAGATTTGGACGCTCTTTTGGCCGAATTTAACTAATTCCGAAATTCTTAATTTTTATTATTATTATATTTTATTTATTTCTATTTTTATAATCTTATTTTTTTATTTCTATTAATTATTTGTATGACGTCGTAATTTATTTAACTTTATTAAGGAAGAATCGTATTTCCAATATTTCAATTTTGAAATATTAGCGCAATTTTGAAATATCGGCACAATTTTGAAATATTATTACAATATTGAACGGAAATTACAATTTTGAAATATTAGAATTACTAATTAATTGAATTGTATATAAGGAGCTTGAATTCAATGTACTTGTAAAGTAACTTTTTAACAAGTTAATTAGTTTCGACTAAGAAAAACTAAATAAATAAAATAATAAATATTTTATTTTATTTAAAACTTTTATCTTCTTTAAACAAAATTATTCGCTAATCCAAATCAATTCGTTGATAACCTATTCATTCTGATCCACATAAAACAAAAATAATTGTTATCACCAATTAAAAATACGCTCTCCCAAAGTTTAATCGGTGACAATATTTAAGTTAAGATTTCAGGTGGTAAAATTATTCTTAATAAAATTAGAATTTACTGCAGATTTGAATCTCATCTGGGGACGATTTTATATTGAAATTTACTAATTTTATCATAACTTGTTAGATAATTAAAAAAAAATTTTTTATCTTATAAAAGGTTACTATTTTCCCCGCCGATCACCATATAAAGTAAGCAAGTATTTTCAGTCTTGATTTAGAAATGATTCTCTAAAATTTCAATATATATAGATTTTCAAAAAAAAAAAAAAAAAAAAAAATGCAACGTTCACGTTTTACCACAGATGCACCAATAACCTCTGCATCATCAACTTCAAATTCGTCAATTGGCAGCACTACTACAACTACAGCATCATTAAATGCCTATTTTTCAAATGTAGAGGAAGAATTAAATAAAAAACTTGATAATGAAATTGACCAATTTGTTGTTTCGTTTCGTGATATTGTAAAAGGTTCAGGTATCCGTGAATCTATTAGAGTACCTGGTAGAGATACTGACAAAGTATGTTTTCTTTCTTTCTTTTCTTATTTTAAAAGGTATCTATATATATCAGTATGATTAAAAAGGGGGGAGCTTTGTTTGGAAAATAACAAATTATAGGTTGTAATTATATGAGTTCTTTCATTTTAGTCAGTTGAAAAAGATAAATATAAAAATGCATTGGATGGACTGGTAGATGAATTACGTGCAGCAAACATGGTAAAAATCAAATTAAATCAAGTTCATTATTACCATTAGAAATTACTTATTATTGTCATAATTAGGTTCGATGTTGTGAAAGTCTATTGAGTTTGACACATGATTTAAAAACAACACTTTTATTAAATGATACTCAAACTTTATTAAAATTGCAAGAAAATCGTAAAAATGATTTACTTTCTCGAACTCAAAAGATAAAAAACAAAGTACTGCAGCTTAATGAAGCTGTCACACAAGCAATTTGGGAAATGGAAAGTGTATTAGGAGGAGAAGGTAGCAGCAATCAACAACTTGATCCAAGTAAAATGTAGCTATAAATTTTTTTATAATTAAAATTAGAAGATTTTGTGATACAAATAAACCATTTTATTTAAAGGTTTTGTAAATTATATTGATAATTGATAGATGATTCATCCAAAGAAATACTTTCAATAACATACATCTTTTTTTTATAATCTCATACTTCATAAATTGATGGTAATTGACTTTGTCTATCTAATTTTTCTTGTTCCAGTGAAAGCACATGATTACTTTGCCTCCATAACTTCTAGTAACTTTTATACAAGTGAATTCTAGAACTTTACTTTCCTTCTAACAACAATCTTTTCTTCTTCTTCATCACCTTACCTTGTATCTGTATACATAAATAATTAATGATTTACAAAAAACCATATATTTAAGGTATGCAAAAACAGTAATAATATATGCATTTCAGCTTCACACCATTGATCATTTTTTTAATTTTATGTTTCATTATACTCATTGCAGCAGAAGTGTTCATTTTCTTTTTGTATTGATTCATTTAAAACTCTTCAAGTTGGATAATTCTTTTCATGCAAAGTTTTAGTACTTGTTTATTTGGTTGTTGTTTCGATATAATTTATCAATTAAAGAATTTTAAGATCTATAATAATAATAATAATATATTGTTAGTAACAATTCCATTTGGAATCACAATCCAATCATTAATTTTCTCAGCATTTTTAATATTCTTTACATCTTGATTCACATCCTCTTCTTCACTTTGGAAGAAAATGCACTGCTAATCAAGAAGTGATTTTATTAGCTAGAGCAGTGGGGTTTCTTTCCCTCCTTTTTCATCAAACCAATTTCATTATCAGTGTAAGTATCATCATCCTTCCAATTCACTCACTATCCGAGGCTTCTCTGAGAGAGTTGCCTTTTTGTTTACAAAAAAAAATTTAAGTACAAGTATTCCACCAAATCAATATTTATATCTTGAAATTTAAATGAAAAATCAATAGAGATGGTAATTGTATTTATGTTTGGTATGCTTGGCATATTTTCATGATTATTTTAACAAGATTTTTTAATATTAGAGTTGAAGGATCATCATATGCATTGTTTTCAGCATATGGAAGGATTCTTGATATTGTTGCATTAAAAAACAATTAAAATGGGTGGGCAAGCATTTATTGTATTTAGATAAATGCAAAGCACAACAGCAGCTATGAGAGGACTTAATGGGTTCAATTTCTATGATAAACGAATAGTAAATTTTCCAATAAAAATCATCAATTTTTTTATTATGATTTTTGAAAAAGTTGATAAGAAATATAACCTTTGTTCTTCTTTTGTATAGTTATATTTAAATATATTTTTCTATTTAAATTAATCTTTCTTTAATTAATATAATCCAATAAAAAACTTAGTGTTTATTTCTTATAGCTGAGGTTATAATTAAAATTAATGAAATCAATAAAATGAAGCTGATCTAACAATTCTTTATTTTTTAATTAATTCCTGTCAACTTATCATCATTCTTTATTTATTTTTTAATTTTCACAATGATAATTTTCCAATTTCTTATAATTAAATAGCTTATTGACT